ATTATCGATTCCACTATCGATCTCATTATCGATCTCACAATCGATCTCAATATCCATATGACTAATGTTCAAGTCATCCACTGATCGGGTTTCCTCAGGTGTAGTATTACATATGCATGTACATACACATATTCATATACATATATATATATATATATATATATATTCGCGTATACATATATATATATATATATATATATATCGTTTTTTAATGAATCCGTAAGGGCTTCGCACCCTGCCGCCAGCCCCCTCTCTATCATCATGGGATATATCAGAGTCGCGTCGGTGCGTCTCGGCGTTACCTTGGTGCATCTAGGAACATCATGCGGGGTTGGATAAGAATCATCAGCGCATATTGAGACGGTGGCGTTATCGAAGACGCCTACGGCGAATCACCGCCGCACCCTGCCCCTTCGGAAGCGCCTGTGTGGCCGACAGCTGGAGCTTGGCAATGTTATCGGGCCAGTTGTTCCCCGAGTTGGTTTGAAAAGCCTTCGGGGAACGCGTGGGGGAGGGCAATACGAGGAGGATCAGGAGAGGAAGGAGGATGATGAGGAGGATGAGGATGATAATGATGATGCTGGAGGAGGAGGAGGAGGAGACCTCTTGGGAACCGTCTTGCGAGGCCTCTTGGGAGGCCTCTGGCGTTCCCGACCCGTCTGACACCGTCGGAGGCCGTCTTGGGGGCCTCTCTGAACTGACTTGGGGCTCTTTGGAGCGCTTCAGGGCCGTCTTGGAGAGTATCTTGGACGTCTTGGAGGTCGCCGTCTTGGGGGCATCCTGGGCCGTCATGCGGCAATCTTGGAGGCCTCGTGGGCGATCTTGGGGCGACATTGGGGACCTTTTGGGCCGTCTTGGGCCGTCGGACGGCAGCCAGGGCGCAAATGCCACAATCTTTCGAAAACATGAGGGCAATCAATGATATTGGCCTCTTCGGGCCTTCCTGGAGGAACTCTTGGAGGGCTCTTGGGCCATCTTGGAGGCCTCTTGCGGGCCTTTTTGGCAGTCTTAGGCCATCTTGAGGCCATCTGGGGCCGTGTTGGGTGCATCTCGGGCCGTCTTGAAGGCATCTTAGGGCGCATCTTTGCCATCTTGGAGGCCAACTTGGGCAGTCTTGGAGGCATGTTGGGGCCTTCTGGTGGCAGTCTTGGGGGCCTCTTGGGCCGTCGTGGTGCCATCTCGGAGGCCTCGTGGGCGATCTTGGGGCGATCTTGGGGGCCTTTTGTGCCGTCTTGAGCAGTCGGAATGCAGAGAAAGAGCAAATGCCAAAATCCTTCAAACACCTAAGGAAAATCAATGATGTTGATGTCGTCGGGTCCTCCTTGAGGACCTACCTCTTGGAGGCCTCTTGGGCCGTCTGGGAGGCCTCTTGGGGGCCTCTTGGGTGGTCTTGGGCCATCTTGAGGCCATCTCAGGCCGTCTTGGGCGCATCTTGGGCAGTCTTGGAGGCATCTTGGGGCCATCCTAGCCGTCTTGGAGGCCATCTTGGCCGTCTCGGAGGCCTCTTGGGGCCGTCTTGGGGGCCTCTTTGGGCCATCATGGAGTCATCTTGGAGGCCTCGTGGGCGATCTTGGGGGCCTCATGGGCCGTCTTGAGCCGTCGGAGTGCAGAAAAAGAGCTAACGCTAAGGAGTTCAAACATCTAAGGAACATCAATGATGTCGGTCCCCTCGGGTCCTCCTGGAGGACCTCTTGGAGGTCTCTTGGGCCGTCTGGGAGGCCTCTTGGGGTCCTCTTTGGCGGTCTCGGGCCATCTTGAGGCCATCTTGGGCCGTCTTGGAGGCCATCTTGACCGTCTTGGAAGCATTTTGGATGCCATCTTGGCGGTCTTGGAGGCCATCTGGGGCTTCTTGGAGCCGTCTTGGGGGGCTCTTGGGCCGTCCTGCGGCCGTCTTGGAGGCTTCTTGGGCACTCTTGGGGCGATCTTGATGGCCTCTTGGGCAGTCTTGGGCCGTCGGAAGGCCGAAAAGGAGCAGAAGCCCAAATCATTCAAAAGCCTAAGGAAAATCAACGATTTTGACCTCTTCGGGCTGTCCTTGAGGACCCTGGCGGACCTCTTCGAGGCCTATTGGGCCGTCTGAGAGGCCTCTTTGAGGCCTCTGGGGCCGTCTTGGGCCGTCTTAGGTGTTTCTTGTGCGAATTTGGAGGCATCCTGGACTCTCTTGGGCCATCTTCGAGGCCATCTTGGACCATCTTGGGCGAACTTGGAGGCCATCTTGGGCCATCTTGGCCATTTCGGAGGCCATCTCAGAGCCGCCTGGAGCCGAACATGATGGACCCACGAACCCGGAAAGGGATATAGACATGTGGAGCATGGACACGTTTTCACGATACCCAACTGGGCAACACCTCACGAAACATCCCACGAGACACTTCACGAAACATCCCACGAGACACCTCACGAAACATTCCACGAGACACCTCACGAAACATTCCACGAGACACCCCGCGAAACATTCCACGAGACACCCCACGAAACATTCCACGACGACAGGCAACCACTCAACCAAGGCGGTGTGGTCGTGCTGGGGAGTGGTCGTGCTGGGGTGTGGTCGTGCTGGGGGGTGGTCGTGCTGGGGGTGTCGTGCTGGGGGGGTAGTCGTGCTGGGGGGTGGTCGTGCTGGGGCGTGGTCGTGCTGGGGCGTGGTCGTGCTGGGGCGTGGTCGTGCTGGGGTGTGGTCGTGCTGGGGTGTGGTCGTGCTGGGTGGTCGTGCTGGGGTGGTCGTGCTGGGGTGTGGTCTTGCTGGGGTGGGGTCGTGCTGGGGTGTGTCGTGCTGGGGTGGGGTCGTGCTGGGGTGTGGTCGTGCTGGGGTGTGGTCGTGCTAGGGTGGGGTCGTGCTGGGGTGGGGTCGTGCTGGGGTGTGGTCGTGCTGGGGTGTGGTCGTGCTGGGGTGTGGTCGTGCTGGGGCGTGGTCGTGCTGGGGTGGGGTCGTGCTGGGGTGGGGTCGTGCTGGGGTGTGGTCGTGCTGGGGTGGTCCGCACCCTGTGATTTATCGATCGGGTCGTGCTGGGGTGTGGTCGTGCTGGTGCTGGGGTGTGGTCGTGCTGGGGTGTGGTCGTGCTGGGGTGTGGTCGTGCTGGGGTGTGGTCGTGCTGGGGTGTGGTCGTGCTGGGGCGTGGTCGTGCTGGGCGTGGTCGTGCTGGGGTGTGGTCTGGGGGTGTGGTCGTGCTGAGGTGTCCCGCACCCTGTGATTTATCGATCGGGATTTCAAAAACAAGCGTTTCGCCTGAGACATCCTCAAATTTTAATCCGCCGGCCTCCTTCGACCTCGATATTTATCAGGGAAAAAATCCGCCGGCCTCCTTCAAGTTGGCACCGGGGGACAGGTTTACCCACTAAAAGAGAACCCTGGGCCCGAGCCCTTTCCGGGAAAAACCCTTTGCAATCAACTGTTGTGCATCTCTGCGCGCCCTTCCGGGTGGCTGGCGGGACGGACCGAAGCCCCAGGGTGAGTTCTTTAGGAAAAGAACCAAAACCAAACCCGAAAGGGTCTAGCACGCCGGGCACCGTTGTGGCAAGCACACAGAGAGCGGCGGATCGAAGACGCCTACGGCGAATCACCGCCGCCCCCTGCCTTTTTCCCGGAAAGGGCTCCGTCCCAGGGTTCTCTTTTAGTAGGTAAACCTGTCCCCGGTGCCATGCGGGAGGTGGGCCGGCGGAATTATTTCCTCATAATTTCCAAGGTCGAGGTGGGCCGGCGGAATTTATTGGGAGGATGTCTCGAGCGAAACGCTTGCGTTTCAGAATTTGTTGAGGATGTCTCGAACGAAACACTGGTTTTGCAGAGTTGGCGATGTCTCGAGCGAAACGCTTGTTTTCAAAATTTGTTGAGGATTTCTCGAGCGAAACGCTGGTTTTGCAGAGCCGACCGCGACGCGGAAAAGCGCCCCGCGCGCAGGAATTCCGAGGATGTCTCGCGCGTGCCGCGTCCCGCGCGCAGGACTTTCGAGGATGTCTCGACTAATTCGCTAGTTGTTTTAGGATTTCCTTGAATTTCGGCAGGATGTCTTGAGCGAAATGCTTGTTTTTTATAATTTGTGTCTCGAGCGAAACGCTGGTTTTTCAAAATTTGGGGATGTCTCGAGCGGGGGCCTCGTGAGGGGCTAGAATTCATCGGATGTCTCAGGCAAAATGCTTGTTTTCATGTCCCGCTCGCAGGAATTCCGAGGATGTCTCGCGCGTGCCGCGTCCCGCGCGCAGGACTTTCGAGGATGTCTCGACTAATTCGTTTGTTGTTCTAGGATTTCTTTGAATTGTGGCAGGATGTCTTGAGCGAAATGCTTGCTTTTCATAATTCCCAACCCTCCTTGGCTGGGTATTCGTTTTGAATAGAGGGGTGTGGTCGCGTCTCTCCTTCTCCTCCTCCCGCCTCCCGCCTCCCTCTTGTCTTCTCTCGCCTTGTGGGTGCCGCGTGTGTGTGCGTGTGCGTCTTGCATGTGGTGCCTCTTGTGTGCATCTTGCCCCTTCTCCCGCCCCCCCTGTGGTCGCCGTCCCTGGGGGGCTGCGATCTGCGAAACTATCGCCACTTTCGAGGGCTGCTGGTGGGTCCAGCGGAGTGAGGCACCGCGCGGACCTGAGCGGGACCTCGCCGTCCCTGGGGGGCTGCGATCTGCAGAACTGTCGCCACTTTCGATGGCTGCTGGTGGTCCTGTATGATACACTACATCAGCGTCGTGCCATGTGGCATCTCGTGGATCAGTCTACGAGCAGCGCTAGCGTCCCAGGCCTATTGCGCACCAGTTCTGGGGTGGGGCGGGGGGGAATGGAGGGGTACTGAAGGCGTCGTCGCTGGGGCCCTGCTAGAGGCCACTCCTCGTTTCTAGTTCCTCGTTGCGAACCTCTCCTTTTCTCTCCGTCTCCCCTCTGTTCCCGTCTTTTCCTTTTCCCTCCTCCGCGCACGCCTGTGCGCCGCATTCTCCTTTCTCCTTCGGTCTCCGCCCTTCTCCGCCCTCGTCCCCCCGTGCGCCTCCCGCTCCGCCCCACCGAACCGTCACCGAGAGGCCGCCTCGAGGGGCCTGTCGAAGCTGGAGTTCATCCTGCAGTGGGGCTCGTCGAGAACGGGCAGCGGGATCCGGGTGGTCGGAAATGTTGAGGGATGAGGTTCGCTCGGACATTTGCCGATGCGCACCCCGCGCAATCCCTCAGTCCAATCATCCGGGCACACCATGGTCTGAAGCGAAACGTCAGAGGCGGAAAGGTACAGATACTGCTACCCTTCGACCGTTTCCCCCTTTATCGGCCTCCTGGAGGCCCTCGTCGCCACTACTGGATTCGCCTCGAAGTTCTGGTCAGAGCGCACCTCAGGAGATGTCCGCGGAGTGGTGGTATTGGTTCCTTTGCGGTTTCCCGAACAAGTCCCACGGACCTCTCCCGGGTGCGTTTTGACCAGGAGTCCGAGGCGAATCCAGCGGTGGCGACGAGAGTCTCCCGGGAGGCCGAAAAAGGGGAACACGGGCCAAGGGCAGCGGTATTGGTACCTTTGTTGCTTCCCCGGAGAAGTCCCAGGGGCCAGGGCGCCGATTCTGGAAGAGGCCTCGCGGGACACCTCGCGGTGCCCGCTGTGGGGGGCGGGGCGGTGGCCCCTCGAGAGGCACGAGCCGCCAAGACGCTGCCGGCCCTTCTCTGGCCAAGGGGGGGCGGGAGGACGAGAGGGGGGACGGAGGCGGAAAAGAGGGGGCCTCCTCCTCCTCCTCCTCTCCCTTTTCCTTCTCCTCCGCGGGAGGCGGGAGAGAGGAGGTCAGAGGAGGAAGAGGTACTCATATCGCGTCGCTTCCCTCGTTTTGCCCTTCCTTCGGCCGTTCCGGGGAGGCCCTCGTCGCCACCGCTGGATGCGCCTCGGAATATCCTAGTCGGAACGCGCTCCAGGAGGGCTCAGGGGAGCAGCGGTATCGGTACTTGTTTGGCTTCCCCCAGGAGGGAGGGTGGGGCGGGGAGACGGGAGGAACAGGAGGAGGCGGAAGGAGGGGGAGATCCCTCGTCGTCGCCGGATCGCCCCCCGCCGTTCCCTCGAGGCCCCCGCGGGGGCCTCCGCTCCCTTCAACGAGCTCAGGGCTACAGTGCAGGCCCATGCCAAGAAACACCCTCTTTGCCTCCAGGGTGCCCTAGGTTTCATAGGTTTCGATGGTTTTGCGATGGAAAGCGTGACGTTCCCACCAAAAATCGATGGACGTCCTGGGGTCTCAGGGTTGGATTTCTTGTGGAACGTTTCTTGTGGACTGGGCTCCGCTGTAAGCGCCTCCGTCTCAATCGCCCCCTCACCATGGCGGAGACCATGGCCGTCATCCCCGCTGCCCGGCACACGACCAGGCGCTCCCTCTTCCCTCTTTGGCTACGCGGCAAGGAGGAAGTGGAGGGCGAATGGGAAAGCGGCTGAGGAGAGACAATGGGGAGGCAATGGTCGAGGAGGGAGGGGGGAAAGGAGGGAAGGGAGTGAGGGGAGGGACGGGAAGGGAGCAAGAGGGAGGTAGGAGGACCAGGATGGATGGACGGGAGGAACAAGGAGGGGAGGGGAAGGCGGAGTAGGATGAGGAGCTGCTGGAGGAGAAGGAGGAGGAGGTGGAGGAGGAGGAGAAGGAGAAGAGGGGACAGGACCAAGCCAGGCGCGCTCACACCATGTCTAATATCCTGCCCATCACACCCATCCCTTCCCATGGCGTTGATGTTTCTCTTTGCGCCGATTGGTGTCAGAGCGGAACTGGATGCTTCAAAAGACGGGAGCATGGCACCGATTTTGAATTGAGGCCGACGTTTCGCCGGCAGTGCCATACGCTGCAGCGGGACCCCCAGTCCGACAACAAATCCAGAACGTCCCGATCGAAACACGACAACCGTTATACAACAAATACCTCCTAGCTCGGCGTCCGATGCGCTAGGAGTATCGGAGAAAAGAAGGAGGAGGAGGAGGAGGAGGAGGAGAAGGAGGAGGAGGATGAGGGAGGATACAAAGGAGGAGGAGGAGGAGGAGGCAGGACGGTCAGGGGAAGGTGGAGGAGGGAAAAGGAGGGGGGGGTAAAGGCAGGGGCGAGTGGGATCCAGCAGAAATGTGGCCCGCGCTTCGAAGAGAGCGCCATTCTGAGCCCTGGGACCAACTCGCCGTTCTTCGTGAAATGAGGCCAGCGCTGCAGCCAGATCATAATTGCTTGAAGGAGCGGTTCTGTTCCGATGGCACAAAAACACAAGACCAGTTGGTGATATCTTGCTGTGTGTCAAAGGGCAATGCGCGGGCGGACTGATTGGACACTGTCAGAGGATAGAGGAGAACCGTATCCATGTTGAGTGTCTGATCGCAGAGAAGAGGACGAGCTCGAGGGAGGAGGCGGGGAGGATGAGAGAGCAGAGGGGGCAGCAGGGGAGAGGAGTGCTGGCGAAGGAAGCACGAGAGAGAAGGGAGCAGCAGGAGGAACGTGGAGGAGGAGCAGGACAGGGGCGTGAAGAAAGCCGCGCCGCCTGCTTCCCCGCCGGGGCCCCACAGGCTGTCCTCCTCCTCTCGGCGCGAGGGCG